AACTTCCAGCCATCACAGACAAACCACTCCAGTCCTCTTTTCTTTGCATTATCTGGCCCGTGGTAAGGTATGGTAATCACTTTCCTCATTCTCAAGCCTTCTTTAGACATCATTAGTGGCATTTCATCCAAATGTGAACTCCATCCTCCAGCTGGTACCTAGTTAGAGTAAAAACAGATTGCTGAGATAGGCCAAGTATGTAGGCTTCTTTACGGTGTGTTTCATTTAGGGACAGTATTTCCTCAAATTAGGCTGTCTTCAGCTGAGGTAAAGCATTATAAATAAGACTGCAGAGGCTGCTTTCTTTTGCAAAGGGAATGTTAGCTAAGGTAAAAAAGCTGCCCAGCGAAGACACTGTGCTAGCTGAAGAAGTCTCTGTTAACTGTGCTGTAGGCGTAATCCTGGAGGCATCTGTAGTGCGGATGGCCAGCTGACAGCACAGCAATGCTGCTCAACAGCTCCCTCCTGCTGCGCCCAGTCTGATCAGCTCCAATCTTCTGAAACATGACTACAGCAAAGAGTAACACTCCAAAACATCTAAACCTCTATATTACACAACTTTACATCATCAGCCAACATTCTAGAAGTGACTTTTCAACAATATATATAGCTGTCTGTATCTGAAAAGTATCAACACATCATCCTTTGGTTTGCTGTGGGACAGTAATCTTTGGGAGGAATGATCACTGCCATCCCATTTTATTCTATTGTTTTTCCTGCTCCTATTATCACATCCTTTCATCAACACCTTTTAAACTCAACAATCTTGATACCAAAAGCAGGGATGTCGTCAAGAGCTGTTCATTTTTGTCACTCCTCAGTCACAGGCATAGTTTGTCTTTTCAAAATGAAAACTTGCCTTTTTTAAGAACCAATTTGTCCAGAAGCGATAATGGTGATTCAACAAGTGCTATCTTACTGAATTCTGCATCAAGTATTTGTGGAGGTATTGTCACAATATGAAAAATGCGAAAGCAGACTTGTGGAGGTTCCTCTCTGGGATGAGGCGGTCATATGTTGATCTTCTTCATTCTCTAAATTCTATACAGAGTCAGCTAAAATAACCAAACCCACTGCTAAGACATAGAAATGAATGAGATAGTACCGTCCTTAATTTGACACGCAGGAGAAAATGCAGTATTCCCAGGCAAATAAGCCAGGTCAGAGTCCAGTCTGGATCACGGCTAGGCAACCCAGGGGGAAAACAGGACTGGGGGCCTAGCAATGGCAGACCATGGATAAGAATTATGCCCAGACAGAATGCCTGGGAGCAACGGGTCTGGCAGTCACAGCGCTGGTTCACTGGGGACCTACAGGAGGGTGCACGGAAAAAAACTGGTTAGGAAGGCATCCAGTAGTAGGGGCAGAAGTCACATGGGAAGAGGATGCAACTCTTGGAAGGCTTGTTGGTGAGGGGAAGAAAAGGAAAATGTGGAAATTAAGAGTTCTTCAGAAACGAAAAATAGGGAATCAAACACATAAGCAGAACTACGTTCATTACATTCTGCTAAAGTGCATTATAGAATAGGTCAGTATTATGGAAGACTTTTCTTTTTCAAGAGAATACAGTGAGTCTCAGGGCCCAGTCAACAGTCCTCCTGCCTAAGCTCAAGAGAAACTGTACGTTGCCAAGTACCCAGAGGCCAAAGGCACGGATGATGTGAAGGTAGCGCATCATCCGTGCTAGCTGGGTGTGCCACAGCGTGCTTCATTTCTCTTTGAGTTTTCTGGGCAGTGGACTGCGTGACTGGGTTCCTGAACTCACTGCCATTCTCTTAATATTCCATCTGACCTATCTCTATAATGCGCTAACTGTCTGCTAGAATTGCCTGCTCTCTGACGTTCTGGGCTCTTAATTTCCGCATGTCCTTTCTTCCTCGCCAACAAGCCTTCCAGGATGCATCATATTACATGTGGACACTGCTGACATTGACAGCTGCAACCACCTTCAGCCCGCCCTCACCAATAGTTTGTAACCAGTGCTGAATCTGAACCTGTTGCTCTCATGTCTTGAGGTAGGTACATCCGCATGGTCTGCCAACTGCAGTGATCAGACTGGCTTTGTCGGTTTGGGAAAATGCTTTTCTCACTTATGTGTGTCAATTGGAAATGGTATATCTCTGTCCTTGTTTATGTTTATTAGTGAGTTTTTAATTGAATTTGTGACTTCTGTATAGGAGCCCAGAGAATGTGAAAGAAAGTTTCAATATAGTGACTGTATCCCGAGAAAATTTACAAATCTGCTGTATTTTTCACATTGTATTTAATACCTCACACCAAATGCACTTGATGCAGGAGTGATAAGATAGCATGTTAATCACCATTATGATTTCTGTTAGTAGCAAAACGAAGTTTTATTTTAAAGATAAATTAGCTGTATTGAATAAAGGAACAGTTTTATTGATGAGCTACCTATTTCTTGGCATCAAGACGAGCTTTAGTATGCTGATTTGACCGAGATTTTTTCATTGAATGCTGCGTTTTTGTGAAATAACGAATAAATAAGGACATAGCATCATTCCCAGATATCGAGTCTGTCGGCAAGCGAAAGGATGATGTCGGGCTGCGGGCAGCTACGTGACCAGTCGCTACAAATGTTGTGTGCGAGGCGTAATGACATGAAGTGTTAGATGTTGCTTAGGTGAGCATTCTTTGCTTTGTGGTATGTTCCGGAAGATTGGTGTTTTCTGACTGTGGATCGAAACCGCAGTGAGGAGCTGTTGAGCGGCATTGTTGGCTGTCGGGCTGGCCATCGCACCCTCCGGGTAGCTCACCTTTGCAGATAACGAGACTTCTTCGGCTAGCACAGGCGCAAACAGGCGGCTTTACCTTAGCTAGCGTTCGCGAAAAGCTGCGGTCGCTGACCCAATGCTTTACCTCGGCTGAACGGCTTGAACTGAGGAAATACTGTCTAAATGAACGCGTAAAAGTAGCAGCCTGTCTCATTGTCATTTTACTCTAACTAGGTACCAGCTGGAGGGATAGTCTCTTTGACAGATGAAGTACCACTAATAATGTGCGAAGAAAGGCACGAGGAAAGTGATGCATGCCTTACCCTTGGTGTCTTAGGGTGTGCAAAGGAAAAGAGGACTGGAGTGTTGTCTGTGATAACTGGAAGCTCCTCTGTACCAGTTTGAGTATCGTTATTCTTCCTTATGCGCTAAGCTTGCCCCATAAACAGCTCAATATATATATTACTTATATTATATGAAACTCGGGAGATATTTCTTCAAATGATATCATGTGCAGTGTAGTACATTATTAGGCAATCTTGTATGAAAGAAAGGAGAACAAATTGGTATCTTATGAAGTTTTAATAGTTAAAATGGAGGCCAGGTGTGTTGGCTCATGCCTATGGCCTTGGAGAGCAAGCGAGCAGATCGCGAGGCTCAGGAGACCGAGACCAACAATTCTTGTTTTTTTTTTTTTTTTTTTTTTTTTGAGACGGAGTCTCGCTCTGTTGTCCAGGCTGGAGTGCAGTGGCCAGATCTCAGCTCACTGCAAGCTCCGCCTCCCGGGTTCACGCCATTCTCCTGCCTCAGCCTCCCGAGTAGCTGGGACTACAGGCGCCCGCCACCTCGCCCGGCTAGTTTTTTGTAGTTTTTAGTAGAGACGGGGTTTCACCGTGTTAGCCAGGATGGTCTCGATCTCCTGACCTCGTAATCTGCCTGTCTCGGCCTCCCAAAGTGCTGGGATTACAGGCTTAAGCCACCGTGCCCGGCCTCCTTTCTTTTCATATTAGCACTGTTTGGCTTTGATTAATGTACTAATAATCTGCATGATATCACTTAAGGAATATCTCCTTGAGTTTTTATATTAATAAACACCCTGAGAAGGCCACAGCATCACTTAGACAGGATTCCACAGAGGGTGCTTAAGCTGAGTTTAACTGCAAGGAAACACAAACAAAACAGAATGTGAAACATTCTGTATAATAACTGATCTTCATTCTTCAAAATGTCAATGGAATTAAAGATAAACACTAAACTACTACTCCAGATTAAAAGACACTAAAAAAGCATGCCACCTAAATGTGACATGTGATCATACCCAGTACTGGAGAAAATAAGGCTACAAAGGACATTACTGGGATGATAGACAACATTGAAATATAAATTTAAAGTAGATACAAAGCATTGTATCAATATTAAATTTCCTGAATTTGATAACTGAACTAAGTTTACATAAGAAAATACCTATTTCTTAGAAAATACACACTGAAGAATTAAGAAGAGGAATGAAGTAATCAATCTAATCTGAAATGACTCAGAAAAATAATAAGATGTAAAAAGAATAATAAATGTAGCAAAATATAGGAAAAACATAAGTGAATGTGAGTAAAAGATACACAGGAGGAATATAGGGCCATATCTAACTTTTGGGAAGAAAAAGAAATACCATTTATAAATGTTGATAGAGTAACCAGGATTAATTCTATCATGCATTAGCTATAAAGTCACTAATTTTCTCCAGCTTTTTTTTTTTTTTTTTGAGACAGAGTCTCACTCCATTGCCCAGGATGGAGTACTGGGGCTCGATCTCGGCTCACTGTAACCTCCATCTCCCAGGTTCAAGTGATTCTCCTGCCTCAGCCTCCCTAGTAGATGGGATTACAGGCACTTACCATCTCGCCCAGCTAATTTTTGTATTTTCAGTAGAAATGGGGTTTTGCCATGTTGTCCAGGCTGGTCTCGAACTCCTGAGCTCAAAGTGATCTGCCCGCCTTAGCCTCCCGAAGTGCTGGGATTACAGGCATGAGCCACCACACCTGGCCTCCAGGTTTTAACCATTAAAACTTCTCATAAGATAATTAATTTGGTTCTCCTTTCTTTTCATATTAGCACTGTTTGGCTTTGATTAATGTACTAATAATCTGCATGATATCATTTAAGAAATATCTCCTTGAGTTTTTATATTAATATAGCTAATAAGTATATTAGAAGCTAAGCTTATAAGTAAGCTTAGCGTATAAGGAAATTAGGTAGCAACGGATAACAAACCTGGTACAGAGGAACTTCCAGCCATCACAGACAAACCACTCCAGTCCTCTTTTCCTTTGCATTATCCTGGCCCGTGGTAAGGTATGGTAATCACTTTCCTCATTCTCAAAGCCTTCTTCAGACATCATTAGTGGCATTTCATCCAAATGCGCAGACTCATCCTCCAGCTGGTACCTAGTTAGAGTAAAAACAGATTGCTGAGACAGGCCAAGCAGGCTTCTTTACGGTGTGTTTCATTTAGGGACAGTATTTCCTCAAATTAGGCTGTCTTCAGCTGAGGTAAAGCATTATAAATAAGACTGCAGAGGCTGCTTTCTTTTGCAAAGGAATGTTAGCTAAGGTAAAAAAGCTGCCCAGCGAGGCCTGTGCTAGCTGAAGAAGTCTCTGTTAACTGTGCTGTGAGCGTAATCCTGGAGGCATCTGTGGTGCGGATGGCCAGCCTGACAGCACAACCAATGCTGCTCAACAGCTCCTCACTGCACTTGATCCAGTCAGAAAACACCAATCTTCTGAAACATGACTACAGCAAAGAATGTTCACTCCAAGCAACATCTAAACACTCTATGTTACACAACTTTACATCATCAGCCAACATTCTAGAAGTGACTTTCAACAATATGTAGCTGTCTGTATCTGAAAAGTATCAACATCATCCTTTGGTTTGCTGACAGACTTGATAATCTTTGGGGAATGATGCTATGTCCCATTTATTCTGTTATTCTCTTCACTAAAACGTGCTATTCAATGAAAAAATCTCAACAACCAGCATACCTTTTAAAGCTCAACAATCTTCTTGATGCCAAGAAACAGGTAGCCTATCATCAAAACTGTTCCTTTTATCCCTCCTCAATCACAAACATAATTTATCTTTAAAAAATAAAAACTTACCTTTTTAAGAACAATTTGTCAGAAACGATAATGGTGATTCAACAAGTGCTATCTTACTGAATTCTGCATCAAGTATTTGTGGAGGTATTGTCACAATGTGAAAAATACGAAAGCAGACTTGTGGGTTCCTCTCTGGGATAAAGGCAGTCACTTATATTGAAATCTTCTTTCACATTCTCTAAATTCTATACAGAAGTCAGCTAAAACTAACCAAAACCCACTACTAAAACATAAATAAGGGACAGAGATAGTACCATCCTTAATTGACACATAAGGAGAAAAGTAAGTATTCCAAACCGACAAAGCCAGGTCCAGAGTCCAGTCTGGATCACAGCTAGGCAGCTTGGGGGAAAACAGGACTGGGGGCCCTAGCAATGGCAGACCATGGATAAAAATTATACCCAGACAGAATATACCCTGAGAGCAACAGGTCTGTGATCACAGCACTGGTTACTGGGGGACCTACAGGAGGGTGCACAGAGCTTGGTTAGGAAGGCATCAATGTCGGGGGCAGAAGTCCACATGGGAAGAAGGATGCAACTCTTGGAAGGCTTGTTGGTGAGGGGAAGAAAAGGAAAATATGTGGAAATTAAGAGTTCTTCAGAAACGAAAAATAGGAATCAAACACATAAGCAGGCAATTCTAGTACATTCTGCTAAAGTGCATTATAGAGATAGGTCAGTATTATGGAAGACTTTTCTTTTTTCAAGAGAATACAGTGAGTCTCAGGAACCCAGTCACGCAGTCCTCACTGCCTAGAAAACTCAAAGAGAAACAGCACGTTGTAAGTACCCAGAGGCCAAAAGGCACGGATGATGTGAAGGTAAGCGCATGCAGTGGCCAAGTATACATGTCATGTACGATGGAATCGTATTTCGGACCACCACCTGGTGTATTTCATTCCTAGTAATTCTTCCTCTTTTCAGACCTCTAACTGATGGGCCTGACGTGCACAATTTCCAGACAAGGGTAGCTTAGCTCCAGGCGCCTAAAATAGGCTCTGAAGTCCAGTGCAGAGTTCCTGCCAAAGTGAAGACTCTATCTGCACTGCACGCAATATGCAGAGTGCAGACTCGAGAAGAAACCCACCCTTTCTAGCCACAGCCCCAGCAAAGGGGGCTCTTGCAAAGCAGAATGTTTTTTCTGTTTTCCGTCTTGTCTCTCCTAGCCCTCCCAGGGCTACCCTGTAGTCACCTCTATGAGAGCAAGGGAAACAGGAAGACGGGCTCCTGGAGTCCAAACAGGATGTGGATGTCCCTGGTAGTTCTCTCTTTTCTCACACAACTTTTCCCTGAGAACTGCCCCAGTCAGGTAGACTTTCACAACAGCATGAAGGGTTAAAACTCTGAGAGAAAACCCTGACTTTCAGAAAGCATAAAGCTGAGAAAAAACAACCCTGGAAATTGGAGATGTGGGATAAACCAGAGAGCAGAGAGAGCTGGACAAGGGATGCCCTAATTCTGTGTATGAATCAACAGAAGTCCCAGGCTCACCCCCGAGCTGCAAAAATGTGCCCAAACCCAAATAAGCACAGGACAGGCTCTGGGAACTACTCAGGTCCTACACAACAGGCCCTGACAAGCACTAGTGGGCAGCTGATGGCCTGGTCAAGGCTTTGCAACTGAACTGACATGGCAACCACCACCCACTGGTGGTGAAACAGAACTAGGGGTCGAAATCTACCCAGGTCAATGCACTGCTAAAACAAAACATTCTTCAAAGGATTATGCGACCCAGAGTCCCACAACACAATATTCAAAATGTCCAGGATACAAGCCAAACTTACTCAACATACAAAGTAATAGGGAAATATGGCCAATAGTCAAGAGAAAGAACAACCAACAAATGCTACTTGCAGTATGAAAAACATATTGGAGTTTTAAAGCAGCCATTATATCCATGCTCCATGAGATAAAGCTGAACAGTCTTTTTTTTTTTTTTTTTTTTTTTTTTTTTTTGCAGTCTTTTTTTTTTTTTTTTTTTTTTTGAGAAGGAGTCTCGCTTCTCTGCTCGCCCAGGCTGGAGTACAGTGGCCGGATCTCAGCTCACTGCAAGCTCCGCCTCCCGGGTTCACGCCATTCTCCTGCCTCAGCCTCCCGAGTAGCTGGGACTACAGGCGCCCACCACCGCGCCCGGCTAATTTTTTTTTTGTATTTTTAGTAGAGACGGGGTTTCACCGTGATAGCCAGGATGGTCTCGATCTCCTGACCTTGTGATCCGCCCGTCTCGGCCTCCCAAAGTGCTGGGATTACAGGCTTGAGCCACCGCGCCCGGCCAGCTGAACAGTCTTGAAGTGAATAGAAAAACAGAAGTTCTTTTTTTCTTTTTTTTTTTTTTAAATACTCTACAAGTATCCTAGGGTAGATAGAAATTCTAAGCAAATGGGGAAGGCGGTGTGTGCACACGCACCCACGTATACACACTATTTATCTATATTTCTTCATATATGAAAAGGTCTCACATGCCTGTATGTCATTAGAATACCAGAAAAACTGAGGCAGAAAAATATGTGAAGAAAAAATGGATAAACACTTTCCAAATCTGTTGAAAGAAATCTACCAATTAAAAAAGACAGCAAACTAAAAACAGCGTGCAGTCAAAGATACCTACATAAAGATACATCATAATCAAACTACTAGAAGCAAAGATGAAGGAAAAAAATCTTGAACGCAGCCAGAGAAACACAGCTCATTACATATAGAGGAACATCAATTCAAATGCCTGTCAATTTCTCATGGATAAAAATGGAGGCCAAAGCACAGTGGAACTTGATGTTTGAAGTGCTAAAAGAAAAGAACTGTGAACCCAGAAATCTATATCCAGCAACAATGTCCTTCAGGAATGAAGGAAAAACAAAGATATTCTCAGATGAAAGAAAACTAAGAGAATTTGCTGTCAACAGATCTGCCCTGAAAGAATGCTAAAGAAAGACTCACGATGGAGAAAATGATGCCAGAAGGAAACACGGAACTTCTAGAATGAAGGAAGAGCAACAGAAAGTTCTTGAAAATATGTATGACTATTAAAAATAAAACGTATTAAATTGTCAGGTTAAGTTTTTAACATAAACAGATGCAAATACATATAAGAAGCCTAACAGGGAAGAGCAGGTGACTCTATAGTTTATACGAGGTGGTAAAATACTAACCTTAAGTAGACAGTGAAAAGTTAGCCATATTATCATAAGCCCTAGAGTCGGATTTCCCAGCAGAGGCACATTAACATTCTGGGCCACAGAACTCTATTGGGTGAAGCTGTCCTATGCACATATTCATTCCACAGTATCCCCAGCCTCTATGTATTATATGCTAGTAGCAGCCCCACACTCACCCCTTGTTGTGGCAATCAAAGATGTTTCCAGACATTGCCAAACATCCCCTGGAGTACAAAAATCACTATCTAAAGGGAGTACTTTAAATATAATGGTATTTAATATTAAAAGATTAAAAGTAAAAAAAATGGAAAAACAAAAATCACTGCATAATGACATACCAGTCAACAATGGATTGCATATAAAACAGTGGTCCCACTAAGGAAGCTAAAAATTCCTAACACCTAGTGACATCACAGCCATAATAACGTTCATAGTACAATGCATTACTTACATCTTTGTGGTGATGCTGGTGTAAACCAAATCTACTGGGCTACCAGTCATTCATATAAAAGTCTAGCATATACACCTATGTACAGTATCTAATACCTGACAATCATAACTAATGACTATACTATTGGTTTATGTATTTACTATACTATACTATTATTATTTTAGATCGTACCTTTTCTATTTATTTTCTTTAAAAGCTAACTGTAAAACAGCCTCAGGCAGGTCCTTCAGGAGGTATTCCAGCAGAAGACATAGTTATCACAGGAGATGACGGCAACGTGTGTTACTGCCTTCCAGTGTGACAAAATGTGGAGGTGGAAGATAGTGATTAGATGATCCTGACCCTATGTAGGCCTAGGCTAATATGTGTGTTTTTGTCTTAGTTTTTAACATTTAAAAAAAAAAGTTTAAGTAAAAATAAATTTAAAAAAAAAAGAAAAAAGCATATAGAACCAGAATATTAAAAAAGAAAATATTTTTGTGCAACAACACAATCTCTTCATGTTTTAAACTAAGTGTTATTACAAAAAAGTTAGTAAGTTTTTAAAAATTAAAAAAAGTATAAAGTAAAAAAGTTGAAGTAAGCTAAAGACTAATTTACATGCTAAGTGTCCTGTACAGGTGTACGATTGTTTATGTGTTATACTGCATTTTACTATGTTCAGTATGCTTAGATACACAG